ATATAATAAGACAATGTACAATCGGTTGGATGTTGTGAGGACATTGACAGTTCATAGGCAGCCACTAATAACTCAGAGGTTTCACGGTGTTCCGAGGACAACTGCAATCCCCACTGTAATACACAGAAAAAAAAAAAAAAAAACTACACTTGTCTACGTGGCTCTTGGGCAAGGTACCATAATGCTGAAAATATTTTAACTTGCATCTGCTGGTGCTGCTACACTGCAACGGAACGATTGTTCGGTGCAGGTCAAGGAAGCCAAGTGGAGTAAACCATCTTGGAGCCCTGTGGTATGCTGCACTTCACAAGCCAGTGTAGCTTCACAGATTTAAGCGCTATATATGTGAATCAGTTAGAAGACTACATTTCTCCTGAAAACCTGAAGAAAATGAAATTACGAATAGAACATGCCTACACTGCTTTAAATATAGCCTGGGTGGTCTCACGTACCTAGCCTGTGCACTTGCTGCCTCGCTTTACACTTTGCTGCTGCTGTATCAAATAGTTCAACATTTTTTTTCCGCGCGAACCAGTGGAGCCTGACTCTGGCAATTAGAGAAAACAAATCATCATAAACACTTTCGTTGCATACAGTCAGAGACTTTGGAACCTTCTGGTGAAAAAGGACACACAGAGTACGCACTATGCTCTCTTTTGAAATTAGGTTGCTGATATTTGTCTCGAAGACTTCCTCACAAGCTGCAACAAATAATCGGAAAGAAGCAGAAGGGACTGAGAGGTTTCCGAAGTCGGAGTCGGCAGTGCCTTTCACACTTAAATACAAGAGCACTTGATTTCCTTCAGAAAAACACGCATTTTCTGTCCTCAGCTCATATTTCTCAGATGTTCCCACACAGGAATGAACCTTGAGGAATTTCGATGCCAGCCACCCAGAAAAATAAACCATGTTGTTCTCTTCTATTGCCGAAGGGTAGTTTGAAGGCGAATCGTCTGCCGTGTCAAGAAAAACTGTGCTCCCTAAGGCAAGAGGAGAAGAAGGTGCCAAAAGGCCTGCTGGGAACGTAGCAAGGAGAGACATCATGTCGTCAGCACAGTTTGATTTTTCCGAGATTTTGAATAGGTTGCTAATCAAAAGGTGCCTGAACGCAGCCTGAAATTGACGGGAAGTGGAGTTCGTGTTTGCACCGGATTTTGAACGTATAACAGCAAAAGTGTTTTCAAGGGCGCCTTGGTTCAAATGGCGGGTTAAAAGGTAGGAAAAACCGTAATTAACCCTGAGGTGATTGCTGAGCAGCAGCAGTGACCTAACTGTCAAGCAGAAGCCACGAATGCAGTGCGGCTGCCTTCTACACCCGAGTATTGCAGGCTTTTAAACACCAGAATGCACTCTTCCAGAAACTCCTCATGAATAGAGCCGTTACACATGGCAGAGGCATATGGCGTCTTTGCAAATTTCTGAGAGCTATTTAGGCTGTCAAAGAGACGGTCAATTCTTTCAACAAATCTCGCTGTGTGAACAGCTGTGGCTGGCAATTGCTGAAAAGTAACAAGGGCATACATTGCAGCTGCACAGTGATTGCTGAAAACTTGAGCTGCTAGCTTCACCGACATCTTTGACGAGAACGTCAAATTAAAATGCTTATCGTTCAGCTTCGGCATAGACCGGATCTCAAGTTTACGGTCCTTTTCATAAGCTTCCTTGATGTAGGAAATTTTCACTAGGTAATCACCAGCTTTGAAGTCGTATTTGAACAACATGTTTCTAAGGCACTTCAAAAGGTGCGGCGGAGCATCGAAAAGGAAAAAAAGTGGCTTGCCATTGATCTCTACGTAAGGCTTTTCGGTAGTTACAATGCTTGAAAAAAGAGACACGTTCTGGCTCCCTTGATCGCATACAACAGCTACCGGCTCCAGGCCAGCGTCCACAAGGGTGTTGTAGCACTGGAAAAGGAGATCTTTTAGGACATCTGAAGGTGTGCCTTTGTGAGTAGCCAAGTGGCTGCTTCCACGGTGTTCCGACTCCTTCTGCCATGAACATGAGAGCCTTGTTTGCCAGCTTTTTGCCTTGCTGTCCACTATGTTCTTCAAGTCCTTCAAACCTGTCAGACGAGGGGTTGTATGAAAGCTCTTTTTTGATGTGCATTTCATCAAACACTATGCTGCAGGCCCGATCGGCTCGAGAAAAAGAAGCTGCCCGCCTCTTTATGAGCTCAAAAATGTCAGGGTAAAATCCAACCCTCAGTGGCACACGCTGAAGCCATAGCTGCAGTGACCTAACTGATGGCAGCCTGAGCAGTCGCCTGCAATACCTATAGCCTTTGGGGCTATGAAAGTAGAGGCCTAAAGCCAAGGCTTTGTTGTGGCTGCACCATCTCCGGCCAAACCGGCTCACATTGCTCATTTTAAGCTGGGCTTCAACGAGTGCAGCGACGGCAGGAGACACATGAGCGCGGACACTCTCAACGACTTCGGCCACAGTCCTCATCTGACGTTGTCGTTGCAGCCTTCTTTGGAGCCTCTTGTTGCGCTCTTGAAGCTGTCGCACCTTGGCTCTCATGGCGTTCATCTTCTTGTCGATGCTGCGGCTTTTGCCCGGTGCTGCAATTTGACAAATGACCCAGATCAGGTCTCCAAGAAAAACTTGCATTCGCCACCAATTTATTAAATGTGTAATCCATTCACACTCAAGAATACTCCTCAACGATTTAAAGTGTTTTTAAACAAGAACATCAAGTATGACAGACTACACATATGCAATTCAAGTTAAGGATAGCAGCACATCTTTATGTCGGTCTAGGCGCTTCATGCTGGCCAGAGACCTGATAGTCCAAAAAGACAAGGGCGCACACAGAAGCATGCAAGTCAGAATAAGCATCCAAACTGTGAAATGCATTTTCTTAAAGCTTGACCATACCTTACTTAGGCCCATGGCATAAGTAACAGTGAAGCGCTCGCAAAAAAAAAGGCAACTAAGGTTTGTCAGATAGGACAATGGACCATGACAGGCTCAGCATCACACACATGTGACCAGGGCAGCTTTTCAATAACTATAAAAACACTGTCTTACGTGAGGTTTTGCGGGAAGACTTATGATTCAGTGAAACCGGCTGAGCTCTTTTGATCCGATAGTGTTAACACCTGCCTGAGGAACATTTTTTGTCTTTTTGTGTGCTTGACGATGACAATACCATGAAACACAAAAATACGGTAAACTTTGAACAAACTTCGATTTGTAGCTGCCGGCTACCCGGTCTTGTGTTATGTGACCCCTTGCGCCATCAGCTGTCAAAATAAAGTTTAGTATCCGCTGGTGTTTTTCGAGCCTTGGCTTTTTTACTTTTGCGGTCTTACCTTTAATAATTTAAGAAAAAAAAAACCTGCAAAGAAAAAAGTTCGCATCATAGAAAGAACCCACATTTGTGAGAAGGCCCAGCAGCACAGCCAGAGAGAGAGTTTCTAGACGACGGTGAAGAAACCAAACTCTCCAAGTCAGCCACGTCCCCGCTGGACACTTGAGCAGGAGCAGCATCTTGATGTAGAGCGTAGCTGTGATCAACTGGAAACAAAATGAAATAAATAAAGGCTTTTACAAAAACAGTATTGTAAGAAAGCAAGTTCAAGAGAGCGGAAAGTTGAGCGAGTTGGTTGTTCATCTTAGCTGGCAGAAACAGTGCCTCTCTGTGTACTTTTACAGCGCCTGTCTGTATACTCCTTGTGTCTTGTCCTTCTGCGCTCTTTTTACCAACTAAGAAAGCAAGCTCACAAAAAAGAATGGGACTAAAAGGATAGCACAAACAATATTCGGCCACCACTTACTATGGGCCCCTAGTGGACTATTCTTTAGTACGGCGCACGAGTATGTGTGGTCCAACGGAGCCGCAGAAATCCGCTCTGCAAATTTAATGTGAATTTAGCGAAGGAGAAGAGGAAGTCCTCCCTTATTCCCCTATTTGAACGCATAAAAAGGAAATTCACCTGCGTTCCATGACAGGTTTATTTCAGAAGACTGGTTGTCAGGGTTACCGCAGAAACTCCACCAGTCTGAGCGGCGGGAGTATGTGCAGCTCGATGGGGCTGGCGAACTGCTCTCTGCAAAATTAGCGTGAAGTTAGTCATGAAATAGTAGTTGAGTTCCTTCCTATGTGTCTATTCTAACACATGACAAGGAAAATCACATTGTTCCCACGAAAGTTCCACCTCAGAAGACTGGTCGTCAGGGTGACCACAGGAACTCCGCGAGTCCGAGCGCCCCGAGTACATGCAGCTCGATGAGGCTGGCGAACTGCTCTCTGCAAATTTAACGTGAAGTTAGTCATGGAATAGTAGTTGAGTTCCTTCCTATGTGTCTATTCTAACACACGGCAAGGAAAATTACCTTGTTCCCACGAAAGCTCCATTTCGGAAGAATGGTCGTCAGGGTGACCTGAGAAGCTCCGTGACTCTGAACTGCCGAAGTATGTGCAGCTCGATGAGAGGGGCGAACTTAGCTCTGCAAATTTATGGTGAATTCACCTATTTTAATACAAAATGAAAATCACTTTCTTTCATGGGCAGCTTTATTTTGGAAGACTGGGTGGCGGCATGGCAAAAGATGCTCTGTGGACCGGTATTGACGTTGATTATATCACCTCAAATAAAACATGTCATTATTAACGGGCTTGAAATGAACTTCTAGCAGTACCTCTGACCATGTTCTACCAGCTGTTTCCAGCTAATTTCACCTAGTCTTATTGCAAAATGCTCAGGTCATGAAGACCACGAGGTAATGCTGGGGTGCTATGTTGCGCTTTTTGCACTCCCAGGAGACTTGGAAGAGGGAAGTGACGTCAACGACACAGCAAACGCAGATTGGGTGTTGACAGAAGAAAACGAAATCAACACCCAATCTGCGTTTGCTGTGTCGTTGACGTCACTTCCCTCTCCCTAGTCTCCTGGGAGTGCAAAAAGCGCAACATAGCCCCCCCCAGTAGTGCTGGCAGTTGCTGCTACTTTATGTTAGTTACAGTGAAAAAGCTCACCATGCACAACTGCTGAACCAGGAGAGCTTTTGCTGGAAATGTCCCCACGCGTCGTCTCTGCAAATAATATAAAAGGGTTATGAGCCCACAGAAGAAATATTTCAGCCTCATGTGGCTGAAATATTTTACTATTTTTCTAAGAGCAGGTTAGCCATGCTTAGTCACAAAGTTGCCAGTTAGCGCTCTTTCCTGTCTCTCGTTCTTCCCTCCGTCGTCCTTGCGCTATTTTAATTATGCACGGAAAGTTTATTGGTCTGCTTACCTTTTGTGGGAAGAACACTTGGCAACGCATTGTGACGGAGGTGTCCAGGCCGCAAGAAAGCCGACTCCTCGAAATGTAATGAGCAAACTACCCTGTCTCGTAGCTGCCATGGAGTCTTCCCCTGTAGACTTCGGTTGTTGCAAAACCGAACCCAGACTTCGCGCCTGCAGATAAGGCATGGTGTTATGTGGGTGCCGTGAATACTTAGGAAAAAGAAATGTAGCCAAAATTCCCACAAACCAAAGCAAATCAGAGCAAGGACATTAACAAATGCATGACATCAACGCTCTGTATACATTATGAAGAGTAAAAATGCGAGTCTTATGTACAGATGGCCTACTATATATCTGTGGTGTACCACTGATAACCACGCCTATGATCACGACATTAGGCTCCTCAGAGCCAGGACGGTAAGGTAAATTTGAATATCATGGGCACTTTTATAATGACAGCACACAACGCAGTGAAGTCAGGGTGATTTTGACGTTGAAACATTCCTAGTATAACATATTACGGCTTCAGGTGTAGTTTCTTGTGCACATCCAGACAGCCCTAATAGTTTTAGGTAAAACTACCTAGAGTTGAGAGAAGACCGAACAAGGGGGCATGCTATCACACAGCAGGCATGTTACTGACAGTAGCGAAATCTCACCTTCGAGAGTCGAGGGGAAACCGGTGCAGCGAGACGCCAGCCGTGCGGGTGTCGCTTTCACACACTTCCACGGAGCACCGTTTCTTTGCGTATCGCGCTGTGCTCATCGTCGGAAAGGACGTTGAGCCCCTTGGACGCAGTAGCGTCCAAGGTCCAAGCGCACGACTGCCGAGTTGGTCCAAGCGCACGGCTGCCGGGGGCTGCGGTTGCTTCTTGCTTCTGCTGCTCTCGGCACCGAGAAACATGGCGGCGTCCAAGTTGATTCCAGGAGAGGCTAGGCTCTTTAAATCGACCGTATAATTCGGTTTCTTCACCAATTGCGCTACGCCTTTGGGCAGCGTTGGCCACGGATGGTGCTTTTTTTTATGTAAAATTTGCGAAGAGCGAACTTACCTGAGGAAAGAGTAAAGACAGAAAAAGGCTTAGCTCCTATGGACACGCTGCGAAGCCACCGGTCTTCAAACAACACGGCGCCGTTTCGCACGGGAGACAAGAGATCGCGCAAGCGGTCGCGACGCCAACTGCCGCCAACCAACGAGCAGACGACGCCGAGAGCCAGCGTATTTAACAGACAAGGAACTGCGCAGTTCTTTGTTGCTACCGCGCCTGTTTTTGTTTCTGCGACTGCCGCCGCCTGCGGAACGCGCGCCGCTTTTGAGCCGAACATATCGTCTGCAAAGACACCGGAGACGCCGGCTCTCGGCGCCGTATGCTCATTCGTTGGCTCAGAGCCTTGTATTGGGAGAGTTTGGCCAATAGGCGGAGTAAAGGCCGCCGCCAGCGCCGAATATTCCCCCCACGCTTAGAGCGTAAAGTAAATTTGTCACACAGCGTGGACCGATCAGGAGACCGCGACGTCACAATATTGCAAATGACATTTAAAGCGTCAAATAAGAGGCATTCTGTGGACGCCATATTTGAGGATCATGTCTAAAGCGCATACTCAGAACGAGCTCTCAATAATAGCCTGCTAAGACCGGCAACCTTGATGGTGCTAAATGCACGCTCCAAAAGGACTGCGGAAGCTCGCCGTCAGCACGCCCTGAGCAGCAGCGCACACGGATGTGGCCACCAGTGAATACTCCTATACTATGTTTCATACTTACCGTGCAACGCTGTCAAAGCTACTGGCGCGAGCGTGGGGCTTGATCTCGTTGATCATTTGCACGCGTTCTCGCGCAAACAAAACCATAGATGAAGCCACGCTCTCGCGCCAGTAGCCTCGACAGTGTTGCACGCTAAGTACGAAACAGAGTATAATAGAAGCAGTCAATATCGGCCCCTCTACACCATCTCACAAATGTCTGCAGTAAAGACAAAGGCATAGGCGCGTGAGCCAATCTCAGCAAAACGCTTTTGTTTGTACGAGAACTCGTGCATAGGAGGCTCTTTCCAAAGCCACGCGCTCGTGCCCACGCCTTTGTCTGCACTGCTGATGTTCGCTCTTGGCCAGCTTGCTAGAACAGCGTCCTGAGACTGGCTGAAAGAAAACAGTGCAAAGGGTGGGGCGCGCGAGCGTCTTGAGACGTGGAGTCCCGCTCGTCTCGTGCGCTGGCTTTGGCAGTGCTTTCTTTCCCCGTCTCAGCTGAGACGCTGTTTCTAGCAAGTCGGCACCGGTTTGGAGTGCAGGTTGCTTTATTCTACACTTGAATATTGGCGTGACTCCCACGAAGCTACCTACATGCACAAAGTTTTCAGTCACCGAGAGCTAAACCTTTTCACTCTAGCGACGCTAAAACGGCTCAAATTAGTCGTGTCACATATTTAGAGCACACGACCACCACCAGGGCCTGTTTCGCGGCCTGTGGTTGGCCCCGAGATGCTCGCCTATTCAAACCGAAGTATGTCAAACTCTCTCAATAAACGGCTCTGCGTTGGCTGCGTTCGTTTATTTATTTATTTATTTATTTCAAAATACTGCGACCTCGATGAGGTCATCGCAGGAGTGGAGAGAAAACATACATATACATTCAAAAAGACAATCGATTAAAGATGTACACACCCTACAAACAAAACTTAGAAAACCTTGAAAAATGCAATATCAAAAGATTACAAAAACAATCACATACACTTCAAGTACAGATTCCAGGCACCATACCAGAACACCTACTGTATTTCTAACACAAACTTATCAAAATCGAGACAACGAATGGATCCATTTATGTTATTCCAGTTTTCTATCGTTCTGGGAAAAAAAGAATATTTAAAACAGTTAAGGTGGGCTCTGTATGGTAGAAGATTTAATGGATGGAAGCTTCTAGTGCGTGATTCAGTAACAAAACTAACATATTTTTCTCGATTAAGTGTACAGTTATTATTCACTATTTTATGCAGGAGCTTGAGCCGTTCTACAGCGCGTCTAGAATCAAGAGGCGTAAGTCCTATGTCAGTCATGGCAGATGTAGGAGAAAAATTGCGGTCATATCTATTACAAATAAATCTAGCTGCCTTTGATTGTATTGCGTCAATCTGCTTTATATCACCTTTTAGATAGGGATCCCACACCACACAACCGTACTCTAAGATAGGTCTAATCAAGGTCTTGTACGCCGTTATTTTAACTTCCCTAGTTGAAGATTTTAAAGTTCTCTTGACGTATCCTAGCCTTTGCAGAGCACGAGAACAAATAGAACTGCGTTGCGCCATCTCTTGTCTCCCGTGCGCATGCATCTGCCATTCGCAGATGCATGCGTAATGTATTTGCGAATACTTTTTTAAATAAAGGAGATTGGTAATATTCATTATATTAAGATGTAGTGAAAATTTGATTTGAAGAATATAAAGATAAAAGAAATATGTGAACACCCATGTTAACGTTTCAGATAACGACCGATAATTTCAACTAGAATAAAAAGCCGCTGCTTTTTTTTCATATTACTAAATACTTTGTATACATATTGTACATATTTCAATACATAACACATATTTTAACCCACGCAGACTTGTTATGTTTCTTGTAGCATAACCACTGTCCATGTTGATTAATACTGCCGTCAACTGAAAGACCCCCGAGACTTCAACGAGCAAGCCTGTAATTTACCTATACTCAAGCAATCAAGTCGCAATTGACTCTTTTTTCAAAACCCCGTCAAGCAACATTGGCAGTCGCCATTTCTTGGGCATGGGGCGCGTGTGATTAGATCCAAGTGCACGCCGAACACGACGCAGTACCCGCGTCCAATACATGCTCAGGGTGCGTGACCAAGCAATGGCTAACACGGATAATGCGCGAGGCAGCCCCTAGATTGTGCGCACGTTTGGAAAGGGTCTATTAAAAATTCCCTGACCATAAAAAAAATCATGAAAATGAATGACGAGGAGCATAAATCTGTCTCATCCCCGTAAGCTTTTCGAAGGAGAACCTCTAGTCAGGCACAACGATGAAAAAATTAGAACAATGTTGCTGTCTAGCGGTCACCAAAGCAGTCCTGATGGCGTCGTCAAAAACAACACGAAGAATTTCGTAGACGTCCTGCAATGACGCGCACTGTAAAATGCAATTCGTCTTACTGGCTGCCGCTCTGTAGCAGTTGATGGATTCTGGAAGAATCGATGAGCTCACTTTGTACTAATTGATTGACAACCGATACCGCGGTGAAGGGGTAAAGCACGCTGCTTACCCTACACGTGCCTACGCTGCCCCCACTTTACGCAAACAGATACAATCAGCCGTGGAGGCCCTTCACCCCCTTTGCGGTCTCTCATTACATTGTAGAATATTGATAGACTGCTTCCGCAGGCACCCTGATATATGCAGTAAAGATAGAAGACTCCGAGTATGCATACTTAATAAAAAGACACAGGTAAAACGGTTGGGAAAAGGTAGGGTGACAGGGTATGGAAGCAATTAAGGTTTAGTCTTTCTGCCAATAGAAATTAAACCCTTCTTTTTAGTTGTATTTTATTTTGTAGAATAATTTATTTTGCAATTAATATTTCTGCCGTGGAGCAACCGGGGATAACTCAACGGAAAGGAGTTTGTTTTTGTTTCTTTACAGTAGATCTTTGAAGAAACTGTGCTTAAATTAGTCACTCCCAGACTGCACGGGCGACACACACAAAACTGAGTGAAGCAACTAATTTCATTTATTGCCGCTCCCATCTTTTTTATAATTTGTGATATAAATGTTATTATCAGAAGATAATAATATCTGTTTTCCCCACTCAGATACATACATAGAAATACTGAGCTGAACACACCCTGCAGCGTATTATTCACCCCTGTTATATATTTTGTCACATTGTATTCGGGAGCTGATTTAGTTTTCACATTCATATTTTTCCCAGTCGTCCTCTGCTATGGTTACGATCGATTCATGCCGTGTCACTATGCTGCCGATACCAAAGCATGCTTCAATTATTGAAGCGCGAGATAACAATATTTTTGTTTGCTTTGGAATCTAACTGGTAAACTTTTGAACAATTGTAACAAAAGGGCTACTTCGGCCGATACTTCTATTCAATACGATGTGGCCACCAAAGTTTGTTTGAAAAATTCTGAAAGATTGTCTTCTCTAGTCCCATCAGACGAACATTCAGCCAACAGATTTTGCACAGCTGTAAAAAATACCGTGCTGGCAACCCTTTGTATGTTTGTGCTGCACCAACTTGGCGACCAAGCAAGATGTGCGGGTTTGTGAAACGGGAATGCTGAAGATATTTTGTTATAATGGTTAAAAGTGTTCTCTGCCAGTTCGCCTAATATGAACATACATTGTGGCGTACAGACATTTATTTATTTATTTATTTACAGAAAAAAACCTGCAGCGCCGAAAACTTCGGCATTATAGCAGGGACAGCCTATGGATTTATACGCTCAATAAAATAAAAAACAGAACACTCGAATATACAACCTGGGTTGTCCATAGAAAAATAAATCAAGATAAACTCGACAAAGGCAATAATATTTTGCAAACAAATGACAATCACAAATTTTTTTAGATAGCAGATATCATTCGCAGCATTGCACCCTCACAGACACTTTTTTTTTCTGTAGATGGGTGGTAACAGTCGCGTCAAAATATTTTTTAGCTTTGCTGATTTGACATGTCATTAGGCATTGTTGGTGTCTATCGTTCGAGCATAATAAAGCTGTAAGCACAACGGTCCAGCTTGAACACCATTCTAACAATACAAAGTCCGGAAATCCCAGCAAACTTT